TTTTTATTTGTCTCACAGTTTACATGGGGCTGATTCGTGACATTTTTAAGAGGAAGAATACCTCCTCGTCATTTTCTCCAAACTTGAATCCATCTTTGAAAAAGACATCAGCGGAGGCAACCCAGTGTGAAGGAAATGTCTCACTTTTTATCAGACATAGACATAGAGGTGCTCGTCTTTATAAATTCCGAGAAAAAATACCCACGACCAGTTTACGTCTTCCACCGACGAGGCTTCTAATAGAGGTTGTGGAAAAGATAAAGCTGCATAGGGAAGTCCTGCCAAAAAATTCTAAGTCTTTGCAATATTCCTTGGGGAATTACTTTGGGAGGCAAACCCTCTTTCCCCTCTTGCCTTCAAATTTTCTGAATTGTTCATTTGATCGGGGGGCATATACCGTCATGGAAGTGCATTCATGTCTCCTAGAAAAAGACTATGCTTATATTAGGAATTTATCAGGCACGTCTAAGTTGCAACTGACGGTAGTGATAGCCTTTCAGATGTATCAGGCTCCACCTTGATGTCCATATCAACTATTAGTCGAGGTGAGGTGTTAGCACTCGACAATCTTTCCTATGAAAAGGAGATAATGAAGGGAAAATTGGATGGCATTCTCTATAAGTGGAACCAAATTTGGGAATAATTGGTCAACCTTTGCAAGGACATGGAAACACATGGTTCTTCTACCTACCTTTTTGAAAAAGTCACCCTCCTCGAGGGTTCATTAGCATGGAATGAAAAAGAGTTAGGAGAAACCCAAGAAGCCCCGACTTCTTCTTCTTACAAGGTTAATGAAGTTGAGATTGTTCTTCAGAAGGAAAAAGATGATTGTACCAAGGAAGTAATGGCTTATAGGTCCTCCTAACAGAGGTGAAAAATGAGCTTAACGACTCTCTCAATGAGAACATACATGTTATATAGGTTGTTTTCCATAATACCTTAAATCAAGGGGAGTAGTTTTGTCCCAGATAGAGATTCCTCTAGGACATCTGGGTTCGGAGAAGGAGGTCGTGGAGGAGAAATTAATTGGTGATGAGGAATGATTCATGTTGCTCTGGTTGATTTATAGTTGTAATTTGTGGTTGATTTCAGCGATTTTAAAAATATTTCTTGGGCATTTTATGATTTTACTTTATTATAAATATACATTCTTTCACTAGATGGCTTAGATGTGATTTCATCCTCATTTTTATTTAGCTTTGTTCATTGTCTAACTTTGCATGACTTTATTTTGTGGCATAGTCTTTTATGATTTTATTTCATTGTAGGGTCTTCTATGATTTTATTTCATAATACACTCTTCCATAATTTTATTTTTAAAATTTTATTTCTTCACATAGTCTTTCATGATTTTTTTCATTGTATCGATTGCATGGACGAGCTAGGTGTCTGTTTTACTATGATTTCTTTTGGAATCGTGCAATACCAAAGGTTGGTTCCACTTCCCTGCCCCCATATGAGAGCATGGTTTAAGGTTAACATATTTAAGGCTTCACCTCTTGCACTCTGGAGTGACTAGCTACCGATATGAGGTGTACTAGCAGTACTTTGTTCACCTTGTTAATCATACATCATGTTATTCAGTTCAAAGTACAGTCATATAACTTAACAAAGGTCATTTCATTACTGTTATCAAAGTATTACATCAGACAATATTTTTCTATTCATTTGTACAACCTGGGGACTTAGCTAAAATACTATTTGAGCTTGGTAACATTCCATATCCTTGGGATTGACTTCCCCTAAAGGGTATTTAGAGTATACGTTGTGTTTCCCATGCTAGCTCTGATCATGTATGGTCCTTCCCAATTGGTTACGAGCTTACCGTCTCTAGAATTCTTCCCACCAACATAGACTCGTTTTAACACCAGATCAACAAGCTCAAAATCTCAAGTTCGAACTCACTTGTTGTACCGAGTTTTAGTTTTATGTTTCATGAATGCGCTCATGAGGGAGTCACACACTCTTTTTTCTTCCAAAAAGTCTACCTCTTCCTAGATGGCTTGTATGTTCTTTCCTCTAATAAGGGGTGTGTTGTTCTCCAACTTGGTTCCTCTTTTTTGATAGGGATGACGACTTCAATTTCGTAAGTGAGTCAGAAAGGTATCTCGTCAGTTGTTAAATAGGCGTGGTTCTATAGGCCCAAAGAATATTTGGGAGTTCCTCTATCCAACTTCCTTTAGGTGCTTCAAGCCTTCTCTTCAATCCCCTTAGCAGAACCATGTTCGTTGCTTATGTGTGCAAGTTTTTTTAAGGATGCTCAACTTAGATGAAATGTTGTTTGACTTTCAAATCCTTTTGTAGCTTCTTCAAATTCTTGTTCATGAACTGTGTTCCATTATATGTTATGATAGCCCGAGGGATCCCATACCTAGATAAAATGTTTCTTTTAAAGAATTCTAGTATGTTGGTTGTGGTGATCTTTGTTAAAATGCTTCAAACCCCTTTGTAAAATAATTAAATGCTACAATCAGGGAATTTAATTGGCTCGGGCCTGAAAGAAGGGATCGAGAATGTTTATACCCCCATTGTGATAAAGGTTGTGGTGATGTCAACACATGCAGCTTGAATAGGGGAGTGTTGTAAACATTTTTGTGCTTCTTGCATTGTACACACTTCTTCATGTACTCATTGGTGTATTGAACCATAAATAACGTATAGTATTTGGCTCTGAGGATTTTCCTGGCTAGGTATCCCTAGCGCCGGCTAACAATCATGAATTTATATTCCTATACATAACAAGGTAAGTCTGTAACGTTATAGATATTTCCATTTACTTAATTTATACTATTAACACCAAATAACTTATTTTAATTTTATTTAGGTGGTCCACACATCGGATGAACTATGACAATGACCTCATTACTGCATCATGCAATACAAGAATCTATTGTATCTTTTTATGCATGTATTTCTCATGATTTCTTAGATGAAAGAGTGGTTGGTGTCAGAAGTTCTTGTGTTTGCGAGTTTAGAAATGATGTTTATTATTCTGCTCTCTCGGTACGTGCATGATTTCGTGAGACTTGAATTTCTCTAAATTTTCTCTAGTTAGGTTGATATATTGTTGTAACAATGGGTCCAAAGCCTGAATATCCCCTTTCACTTGTGATACCACTGGTTGTGTGTGTATTCACAACTTGATTTTGCTGCCCACATATTGGTCGCCAGAGTAAGATTGAAGAATAATGTTTCATATTCATCTTTATTGTTGGTATTTAGGCATTCATAATGTAAGGACACATCAATCATCAGCCTGACTTCGTTCTTCAATATGAGGTCGACTCTACTTCCTCTATTGTTTGATAACCTATCTGTGAACACGGCCTAGGTGTGAGCTGGTTTGGGTACACCTACAGTCATTTATGTTATTTTGTCCTAGGCTCGAAAAAAACATCAAACTCAGATATTTTGACAGACTATTTTATCAATCGTTCAACTAAGTCTGACTTGTGGAGGATTTGTTTTAAAGGTTGATAAGTGCTAACGATGATGGCATGGGATAAGTAGTAGCATCCTAACTCCCTGGATGTGGCGACCAATACCTATGTTACTTTCTCTATCTTCATGTAACATGTTTTAGGTCTGGCTTATGCTTTGGTTAGGAAGTATATCAGACTTTGAATGGAATCTACCTCTCGGATGAGAACAACACATGTTGCTTCATAAGAGACGACCAGATAAAAGAATAAAACTTCTCATGCGATTGGTCTGGACAAAACTGGTAGGGTTGACAGGGTCATTTCTAGAGATACAAACGCTTATCTGCGCTCTTTGATCCACTCGAAGTGGATTTCTTTCTTTAGTGACTTCTAAAACGATAATGCATGTTGGGTTAGCATGAATATAAATTTGTTCAGGATGGTGAGCACATTCCTTATACAATCATAATTGCATAATATTTTACTAATAATTCAGCATAAAGAAGATTCATACCTATGCACAATGACATCATGGCAATCAACTTGCGCCTCTCTTCTCTTACCAAGAAACAAGAACAATTTTTCTAATGAAAAATTAAACAAGTTTCGATTGTAAGTCTAGGGGTGTGCATGGTTACCAAATTTTAAGAACCAATTCATTTTAATGGTTCTAGTTTTAAAATTAAATTATTTTTTATAATAACCAATTTAAAATTGTAAAATGGTTTCAATTCGGTTCAAAACTGGTTTAAACCGGTTTTCAATCAAAATTGATTTATAAGAAAATTGTATCTTTCTTAATTTGAAGAGACGAAAAAAATTCAGGTTAATGAAGGGAACAAGATGCCAAGGCATGTGTCATTTTTATACTATTATATTCAAACACTAGCACAAATCGTTTTTCACAATTTTTTTTAAAAGCAAAAAAGTAAAATTCAATTTAAGAGTAAAAACATTACACTTTAATCTATGATAAAGTTGCACCAGAACACTAAAACTAGAACCCAAAAAAACTAAAACAAAACATCCTAAAACCAAGACAAAATTTGCTTCAAAACAATTGCTACACTATAATTGTTAAACAAAAAAATACAGATTAAGAATCGTTTATCACAATTAACTTAATAAGTTCTTCTTCTCTTAACTAATCACCACTCTAATTAACTAATTAATAATAAATAAAAATAAAATATATAAATTAGTTTTCTATTTTCAATTTGAATATTATATAAATTGGTTTACACGAATTTGAATTTCCTGTGTCTTAATAATATCTTATTCATTAATAATAATATCATATACATTTGATTTTATGTATGACAACTGGTTATCAAAAATGAAAACCAGATTTTTGTTTTGATATCAAAATGGATCTGGAGCGATTCACATCCAACACAAATTGGATTATAAAAATTGATGCACTTTGGTTCGTGTAAACCAGTTTTTTTGCACACCCCTATGTAAGTCTAAGAAAAATAGTCAAAAGCACGTGGCGTGGTTATGCTTCACCTTTAAGTATCAATCAGATAGACTTTCAAACATGGGACAAATCCAAGCACTAGCAGTAAAAATGACTAGCTACCGATGAAACTGCATCTTTATGGCTTTTTGAACACAACGTTTTAAAGTTGTGCCTGGTGTCATTCCTTTGAAACACATTTCGTTATACAACTCCACAGCTATCTTCGCGTGCCCCCCGTTCAATAAACCCTCGAGTATAACTGTGTATGCAATGACATCAGGCTTGATCCCTCTTATCTTCATATCCTGAAAGAGCTCATAGGCCTCTTGCAAACAATTCATCTTACAATAACTATGAATCATCATTGTGTAAATTACAACATCGGGTGTAAATCCTCTCTCGACGAACAAATTAAACAAAGAGCGAGCACATTTCATATTCTCCGTGCAGCACAATGCAGTAAATATTTTAGAACACGTTTCTTTGCTAGGCTTTCCGTTCATCTTCAACATTGTGTCTAGCAACATAACAGCTTTCTCAATAAGGTCAGCTTCACAATATCCATTAACCATAGCGGAAAGAATTTCAACGCTTTTATCTCTCAAACCGTTAAAATATGCCTCAGCTTCTTCAATCTTGCCAATCAAACACAAACCTTCAATGATCACCTTGTGCGTAACAGAGTTCGGATTCACACTTTTACTATCCATATATTCCAAAAGATCAATCGCCTCGCAAGCACAGCCATTTCTAAACAACCCAGAAACTAGTACATTATAAGTAACAACATCGGTTTTCAAATCCTTTTCCTCCATTTCTTTAAATAAACTTAGGGCTTCAACAGGCTTACCCTGGAGACAATATCCATTGATGAGTGTTGTGTAGTGTTTGATATCTAAATCAATAATATCTTCCCGCATATTTATTGCATCGTCCACCTTACCCAATTTACACAAAGCATCAAATACAATATTGTAAGCTACCCCGTCAAGAAACACACCCGATTGCTTGAGTTTTTCAAATCTAGCAACCACTTCCGACGCCTCTCCCATCTCATCCAAGCAATGGAGGACGCAACTAATAATAACACAATTTGTCTCTATACCTTTTGAAATCATGCTATCATGTACGGCTAAAGCTCTATCCAAATTACGGCTCTTACAATAACCATGGATCAATGCAGAATAAATATACACATCAGGAACAAGCCCTTCCTTTTCCATCTCCAAAAACACACTCTCGGCTAAATCTAATTTCATTTCATTACAAAACCCGCGAATAATCGCAGTATATGCATAAACATCTACAACAATGTTCATCGTTCTGCACTGTCGGAGCATCTCGAATCCCAAATCAGACCTATGATTGTTGCACATTCCCTCAATCAAAACCACATAACAATACGAATCAGGATTCACCCCAACTTCCTTCATTTCGTCAAACACACCAAACGCGTTTTCCAAATCACCCTTCTTACATCGCGCTTTGATGATAATAGCATATGTATAACAATTGAATATCAAACCAAAACTCTTGAACTTATCGAATAAAAACAATGCTGTATCGACTCTATTGTGTATAACCAACCGATTAACAAGAAAGTTAAAAGAAAGTACATTAGGCAAAATCACAACATCCTTCTTCCTGGTTTGTAACAAGAAATCAATAGCTTCATCAAACATATTAACACTAACACAAGCTTTAACAAACCCATCAAAAGCTCTAAACAAGTAATGATATTTATCCTCAATATCAACATTTTCAAAGAGTGAATTAAACAAGTCATTGATTTTGAATGAAGGGTCTTGTTTGGAATGAGCAATGATATCAATGAACAAAGAATCCAACTTTCTAATGCAATTCCAATAACACATTATACTAATGATTGAAGAATAGGTTTGAATATTATGAGAGAAAGAATGGTGTTTGAGTTGAGTGAAGTAAGATAGTGCAAGAGAAGGGTTGTTTTGATAAAGGTAGAGTTTTTGGAGGATTTGGAAGGTGTTTGGGGGAAAAGATGAGATTTTTGAGGGTTTTGTGAAATGGGTATCTGAGAAATTTGAGATTGCGACAGCAGAGGATGAAAAGGCGAACTTGGTGAAGTGAATGGTTATGGTTTTGGTTGTGGAGAATGGTTTTTTGAACAGAATGAATGAAGGGAAATTCAAGAGACGAAACAACATACCATAGTAGGGGTGAAGGTGAATGCGTGCGGTGGAGTTGCGGCAGAGGATGAGTTGAGGCTCCGGTGGGGTTGTGGCGGAGGATGACGGCGAGGTTTGAATGTGACAAACAATTTCGGTATCCTTTTGTTTTCATTTCAAACACTAATTTACGTTAATTATTAGTTTTTCTTTTGTATATAGATAAAATAAAATTTAACCTCTTTTACATCAAAGTTAAAACTCAAAAGTAAAGCAAAATTAGTTTTTGTAAAATACAATAATTAATTTATAGGGATTAGTATTGACTTGTGCTATAGTATTTATCTTAAGCTATTATTCTAATACTCCTCAGAAGCTCGAGGAGAGATAAAGGTCTTGATTTTGAATTTGGTTCGAATCTCATAAAAAATAGTCATGCTAAATGATTTTGTGAGTGTGTCTGTAATTTGTAAGGAGTTGAAAATATGTTGAATTTTCATTCTCTTAGAGATAGCTCTTTCATTGACGAAATGAATATTGAGTTTGATGTGCTTTATGTGAGCATAAAGAATATGATTATGTGACATCACCGCATTGAGATTGTCACAAAGAGTGTGAGAGAGAAAAGGCACTGCAAGCTCGATGAGGAGTGATTCCAACCAAAGTAATTCATAAGTCATTTGTGTTAAGGCACGACACTCAACATTCGTGCTTGATCGAGCAACAAGTGTTGTTTCTTAGAACTATAAGACATTAAATTTGGGTCAAAAAAAGATGCAAGACTCAAAATCATATCTATGTTAATATAGATCACTTACCCAATTTGAATCGTTGTAGGTCCATAGAGAAAACATATGAGATAATGGAGCTGAAGAAAGCCATAAAACATGTTCAATGATGCCACTGAGATAATGCGTAGTTCTCTTAACAACTGACCAACGAGATTCCAATAGGGACGCCATGAATTGAAAAGTTTTATTCACACTGAAAGTAATGTCATGCCTTTTAAGTGTCACATATTAAAAGACCCCAACCATAGAGCGATATAAATGAGGATCTGAGAGAATGAGATACTTGTATTTGCTAAGTTGGCAAGTTCTTAGCATTGGAGTGGTGGCACCGTTTGCATTACACATCTTGGCTCGTGCCAATAGATCTCGGATGTACTTTGCCCGAGTGGAAAGAATACCATCAGTGGACAAGTGTTTGATTTCAATGCCTAGGAAGTATTCAGGTTTAACCAATTTCTTGAGGGCAAAGGTAGTATGAAGTGAATCAATGAGTTTGTTAACTAAAGTAGAAGAAAAGCTTGTAATAAGAATATCATCTACATAGACCAATGCAAAATAATGCCTTGATGAGAATATATGAAAAGTGAGTGATCAGGTCTGCTATAAATGAAACCAAAATGAATTAGTGCATGAGATAACTTCTCATACCAAGCCCTTGGGACTTGCTTGAGACCATACATGAATTTAGTCAACTTGCAAACATGAGTAGTGTCTTGCTTCTCAAAGTCAGGTGGTTGAAACATATAAACTTCTTTTTAAAGTGAGCCATTAAAAGATGCATTATTTATATCTACATGTTAAAGTTTCCACTTGTTAGTTAAAGCCAAAGTAAAAATGACTATAATGGTGATAGGTTTTACAACTAGAGAGAAAGTATCATTAAAATCAAACCCAATTTGTTGATGGTATCTTTTGGCTAGGCTACAAGCCTAGCTCTATATTCGAACCCTCTTGGTCGATGTAACTAGTGTACGAAGACTAAGTGTCTTCATACTTAGTCGTTTTCCTGCAAGATTTCTATTATACCTTGTCGACTCCTTCAGCTAGAATTTTCATGCTAATAGTAGGTATATAATACATTTAGGTAGTGAATGCTTGCTCAGAGTGGCGATAAGCCATGTACGGTAGTTTTTTAGGATGTTTAAGGGACCAACTCACATGAGGTGATAGGCCTTGATGGTGGTCGACATTGCTAGGTTGTCTCTTTTAGTAGTGGAGAGTGTGTATGACTTAGAGTCTATCCTTTCCCCTTGAGAGTTAATGTATTTATAGGGGTTTATATGACCTAGGGTTCCCTCAGAAAAGACCACCGCCCACTTAGTCAAATAGCGGATAGTTGAATCCCTATTTTCAAGGGAGATATGAGTCAGTAATAACCCCGACTTTCTCTTTATCCAAGACACGTCTTATCCCATATTTTTTTCGTACGCACGAGGGAATACTCCAGGGAGAGTATATACCTCCCTCCGGGCTACCTTTTATCATCGCCTCTTCCTACGGACGAGGCTTTTTGCAAATATAACACTACAATACTTAAGTCGACCATCACTCTTTGGAAAAACCAAAGCAATGCATGTTTGCCTATGAATAGAAAACCATTCCTTAAGACCGACCACGACTTCTAAAATACTCCCCTAGAATCCAGAGTGTTCGACGAGTCTTGAGGGCAATTGTTTTAGGCCGCCTAAAGGTCCAATAATATTATTTCTCTATTTTTGTGGTTGACATTATGTTTGGTAAAACGAACTTAGCATAAACATGTTCAATGAAGATGTTCCATCATCTGGAGCAACATGTCGAATACGATGTCCTATGAGGGTTCTTTCGATATCGTGATTCTATACAGCTGGATTGTTGGATTTTTTAGTTGTTACAGGTGCAAAATATTATGGGAAAAATTATGCAATCCTATGTGGCACACAGTTTGAAGATCGAGAAGATTCAAGCTGATTTCAAGGAGTATTCTTAGTTTCTAATTATAAAAATAATTTAGGAAACTAATGATTGATGTCCTATCTTTGAGGAGATAATTCTGCAGTGCCTCTATCATATCCAGCTGTGTTCGAGAAGCCCAAGTCCAGTATACTAAAGATTACAAAAAGAAGGCTTCAACCCTAGTATTAGTGTGGAACTTACTGTGTATTTTATTAGGGTTTGTGTGTTTATTGTGTATTTTTATTGTGAGCCTTTTGTCAATCATTCCAAAGCTTTGAAGCAGAGAATGATTGTGTGTCTTTGAAGTGTGACTTCTATTTTTATTCTAAGTGTTTAGAATTGTTCAGTCACTGTAGTGTGATTGGAATGGATTTCAGAAAGGTTTCATACCTAGGTGAGTCTTTGGTAGAAGTTAAACACGGGTAGAGATTAAGTGAGTAGATTGTAAACTAGGTGAAAGTTTAATGTGGGTCTACGAATTGATACTATCTAGTTAACTTGGTCTCTGGCTTGGTATCCCCCAGAGTAGGTGTGTTGATTCACCGAACTGGGTTAACAATTTTGTGCATTCTTTATTTTTTCTGCATTATTTTTATCGTTTACCTTGTTATTTTAACGCCCCGTTTTATTAAATATTATATTATATTAATATTTTCGAGTTATCGTTTGACGTTTATTTTTGGACGAGAATATTTAAATTAACCGTTATATCTGTTAATATATTCGGCGACGTATTATTCAGACCGGTAATTATTTTATTCGGTCCGGTATTTATTTTGAGGGACCGATAATTATTTTATTCGGTCCGATATTTGTTTTGTGGGACTGGTAATTATTTTATTCGGTCCGATATTTATTTTGAGGGACCGGTAATTATTTTGTTCGGACTGGTTTTTATTCCATTCGGTTCGGTAAAATATTATTCGGACCGATATTTAATTATTTGGAGTTATTTTAATTATTTTGGTTAATAATATTATTTAGTATTATTTGGTGTTATGAGTTAGTATTTTTCAAGAAGGGCTTTTTGGGTATTTTGCTAGCTTATGTCTTGCATCTAAACAAACCAAACACTTGTTTTATGACATAACATACAAAACACCCTTTGAGAGAGTTAGAGAGAGCTAGAGGTATTGGAAGAGAAGAAGAGGAGCAAGAACAAAGCTTGAGTTTTGGGTTGGTTGGAACATCAAGAATCATTTCAAGTATCTAAGGTAAGGGATTTGATTTTCCAATGCTTATAGTTAGGGTTTGATTTGGTATATTTTGATTTGGGATAAAATTGATGTTAGGGTTCTTGAGATTTGTTGAGATAAATTAGGAGAGTTAATTTATGTGTTAGTGTTGTGGGATTATTGTTATGTTAATAGAATTGAATTAAGAAAAACTAAAGTAAAGTAGCAGTATATTCAATTAAATGAAGTTTAGAAATTAAGAATGCAGTATAGCAGTATGTTCATTTGAATTAAGTTTACTAAAAAGAACTAGCAACATGTTCATTTTAATTAAGCTTATAAACTAACTAAACTAGAAGTGTTTATAAAATGAAGTTTATAACAAAAACTAGCAGTATAGTTAAAACGAAAACTAGCAGTAAGTATAGAACATGAAGTACTAGCGGCATGTATAAATTGGCATGAAGTTTAGAAAATTAGAAGTACTATGGAGTATATTACTTTTCCAAAAAGAACTAGCAGTAAGTATAGTTAGCTTTAAAAAAAAAAGAAATAGCTGTATAGTTTAGCAAAACAAAATGAAATAGCAGTAAAGCTTAGTAAACTTAAACTAGCAGTATAATTATTAAATTAAGTTTAGAAAATTAATTAATTTATGTTTTGTTTTTATTTTCCTGATTTAATATATTAAATATTTATATTAATTAAATATAAATATGACATAAATTAGCCAATTTAATTTAGAACCCGATTATGTTTCGATTTCCCAATTTCGGCAATTTCGGCGACGGAGTAAGTTGCTCAGAATTTAACGAAAATTGATGTGCTAGCTAATTTCGACGTGTAGAACGTCGTGGTGAGGGTAGTTTTTCGAGATTACGAGTTTTTAACGGAGCAACCCGAAATAAGTCAATTTACGGTTAAGTTGAACCGGGTTGCGTTTTAGTCGGTTTAAGTCGCGTATGGACAATCCGATTGTGACGTTAATGATTATAATTGATGCTGATTATTGTGAATGACTTTTGCAACGATTATTGATGTTTGACTATTTTTCCGTGTTTGAAATTTAGTGAATCATTTGATAATGATGTGGTGTGATTAAACATGATGGTTGCGACGGTTTATTTATAATGAATAC